AAAAAAAAAAAAAAAAAAAAATTTATGGAAAAAGTATCCTCAGGTGAAGATTAACAAAAATCTTAGAAGGCCCTGGGGACCTTTGAGATCCCCTCATCCAACCATCTGGTGCGTGGATAAGGAATCTGAGGCTCAGGGAGGTTAAACTCCCTCCTCTCCACCCTTACTCCTGACTCCAGACAAGAGGAAAGCAGGAATGAAAAGGAAGATGACGGACTTCTGGGGCCTGGGCCAGAGGGACTCCGGTGGGAATGCTCGAGCCTGGGGAGCAGGGAGCACAGCCTGCCAATCCTGCATCTGGCTGCTTGGCCCCCTCCATGCCCACATCCCACATGCAGGGCAGGGCAGGGCTCCCCAAAGGCACTGTGCTCTGTGTTTTGTTTGCTGGCATTGCCCTTTGCCCTCTGCAGCTTTGCACACATGGATCCCTCTGCCTAGGATTCCTTTCTCCCTGGTCTCCTTAGGAGACTCCGACTCACCCATCCTAGCTCCCTGGATGTCCCTGGCTCTGAGAAGGCTCCCCCCAGACACGGTCTGCNGGCATCGCCCTTTGCCCTCTGCAGCTTTGCACACATGGATCCCTCTGCCTAGGATTCCTTTCTCCCTGGTCTCCTTAGGAGACTCCGACTCACCCATCCTAGCTCCCTGGATGTCCCTGGCTCTGAGAAGGCTGCCCCCAGACACGGTCTGCACCTGGACAGACCTCCAGCCCCACCCGCACTGCTCTCTGATCGGCTACTTTAGACTCCTCGCTGGACTGCCTGTTCCTGGAAGGCAGAGTCACACAGCTCCCGGTGCTTAGCGCAGAGCCCAGTGTAATCGGCACTCAATAAAGATTTGTTGGGTGAGTGAACAGTGGATGTTCGGATGCATGGATGGGTGCTAATTTTCCAAGGACAGTCTCAGCGGTTCAGTCAGAAAAGGATTTTATTCATTTCTCCCAGAGAAACCCATAACCTTTCTGCCTTCTTCCATAGTCCCCCCTTCCTCGAAGAACCCACCCAATGTCCCCCCACAGCACCCACTCTGCTAGCAAATGACACTGATAGTCTCCCGTGGATGCTGAGACCTTTCCTGCTCATGGAGATGCTGCATGGGTTGCTGAGGTTTTAAAAGGCAATCAGATACCACAATGTACATGCGTGGGTGACAGGGGAGCCCAGAGGACCAGACCCACGCTTCCCCCTTTACTAGATAAGGGCAATGGAGACTATTTTAGGAAGGCTGATTCTGTGTGCAGCATTCCTAAGGCAATCCAGGAGAAACAGCCAAGTCACAAGTCATGGGCTAGTTCAACTCTCCCCAGAACTCAGCGAAAGAGGACACCTCCAAGGAGGCCTCCCCAAAAATCTGCGTGGGTCCCCACCCTCAACCCCAAACACCGACTTTCAGGGGTGACACCTATGTGTTTCACATGACAGAGACTCAGCCACCCTGCTCCATAAAGACCTTTAAGAATAAAAACACCTAGGCCCTGGCCACGTAGCTCAGTAGGTTAGAGCGCTGTCCCGATATGCCAAGGTTGCGGGTTTGATCTCCAGTCAAGGCACATACAAGAATCAACCAGTGAATGCATGAATAAGCGGAACAACAAATTGTTTCTCTTTCTCTCTCTCCCCCTTCCTCTCTCTCTCTAAATCAATAATAATTTAAAAAATAACAAAAATACCTAAAATTTGTTGAGTGTTTTCATGAGGCCAAATACTGCTGTAAGCACTTTACATATATCATTTCTTTTATTCCCTAAAACAACCATACAAAGGAGGTCCTATTATTATCCCCATATTACAGATGAGAAAATAGAGGCTCAGGGAAATGAGCACAGCGCCAGCAGTGGGCAGAGCCAGGGCTCCACACCCAGGCGGCTTAGCGCTGCTGCTACTCACCACTGACCTTCAGCCCCCCGGGCTGCCCTGCTGCTCAGGAGCAAAATTTAAGGATCAAAAAGGTGAGTGCTGACCCCGGGGAGGAGGGGGCTCTAGGAGTCTCAGAGGCCCACTCTAAACAGAGACTTTTAAAGCAGGAAGGAGCCTCAAAAAGTGGCAGTTCTGGCCTCCTTATTGCTCAGACAGGAAAGTGAAGCCTGGAGAGGCAAAGTGGCAATGTCAGCCACGGAGGGCCTCCTTCTCTAGCGCCTGGGACCCCTCCCATCCTCGCACGGGGGACTCACAGGCTGGGCCTGGCCCCACATGGCTCTCCAGCTGGGTGGGCTGATGGGATGAGAGTGGGGGTTAGGAAGCAGCGCTGAGTCCTGGGAAAATCCACCCCCCCCATGAGCACTGCAGGGGGGCAGTGGTCTGCTGCACAGCATGGAGTCTCTCCTGCCTCAGCCCAGGGGGAGGAAGCCCAATGGCCTTGCATTTCATGGGAGGAGAGATACCAATCCCCTCTCAGGGGCTGCCTCCAGGCTGAGGCTTAGGGGAAGCCAGTGGGGTGGAGGGGCCGAGTTCACGCAAGGGCCCCTCTCCTTCTTTCCAGCTCCAGACAAAGGACCACCTGCTCCCCCTTCTACTCCCCCTCCAGGGCTCCCTGCTGTTGTCCTAGAGACAGGCGCTGCCCTATGGCTCCCCAAGCCCCCACCCCCCACTGTGGCCTGCCAGTCCTGCCCCAAGCACCGTACAGGCTCCAGACTGCAGAGAATGAGCTGGAACCCAGCCGAGCCTCCCTTCTCTGCCAAATCCCTACCTTTCAGTGCCAGGGCCAGACAGGCCAGACAATGGGGTCATCACTACCCTAATAATGAGGCCTCAGGGATGGAGGAGGCTGACTAGTGGGGAGGGAGAGGCAGGGATGGGGCCGGCTGCCTGGGCTCCACAAATGTACACGGCACACCTTCCAAACCCCACCCACGCCAACACCTGGGAAGGTGAGAACAAGAGCAGTGGGCATGGGGCACGGGGTGGGGGTGGGGGAAAGCAGAGAGAGACAAAGGGAGGAGAAACACAGAGAGAGCCCCAGAGAGGATGAGTACAAGAGGGAGGGAGATCCCAATGCCCAGCAAGGAAGCTGAGGGCTGCTAGAGAGGCCGCGAGGAGCAGGGTGAAATCCCACTCTTGTCTCCGCCACTAACCAGTTTGTATAATTTGGGGTAACCATCTGGAGCCATAATCACCTCATCTGTTAAGCGGGGAAGCATCCCCTTGGGTCATGGTGGGCTGAAGCAAAGGCAAGGCAGTGCTCTCCAGGGCCCAGGGTCACAGGACTTGAGGTCCAGCTCCAACTGCCTCATTCGCAGCAAAGCAGGGGGCACCCCAGAGATGGGGGCTTGGCTGGGCCTTCAAGGCCCACTTCCTTTAAGGCCAGCCATGGGGGATTAGATCCTACTAGAACTGTGGCGTGGAGCTTTTGGGTATACAAACTCGACAAATGAAATTTCCTTGTTAATAATGCACTAAAGGCCCTGAGGCTCTCTGTCCTGGGAGCCCCATGCCCTGGATTCGCCCACTTTGGGCAGTGGGGTGCTCTCGGGATGAGGTCTGGGCTAGATGGGTCGGAGGCAGCCCGTCAGCTCGTCTGGGAGAGGCAGGGCAGCCGGCGGAATGAGCCCATGAATGGGCGGCAGGCAGGGGCCCAGTGGGGAGTCAGGAGTCCGGAGCATCCTAGCAGCTGCCTCCTGAATAGGGCCCAGTGCTTGGGGGGGGGAGGCCAAGTCCACATTCAGCCAGAGTGACGGATGCTGGCGGTAGAGGGAGAAAGACACAAAGTGAGGGGCTGCCCCTCCCTCAGCTCCCGCCCACCTGCCTCAGCCTTGAAAAGAGCTGTGGGGAGAGGCTCGGAGGGGACTTTAATCCCACCAGCACCCAGCCCTCTGGCCCCTTAATCCTCTAAATCGTCAGCCCCCCTACTCTCCACCACGCCATCCCCACCCCCACCCCGGCCTGAGGGCTTTGCCATACATCCCATCTCCCATCCTGGATCCCTTCTTAGTGCACTAATGACCTAGGCTGGGGAAAGGACCCACCGCATTCTCTCTGTATTGTTGCCACTTGGGGCTCTTTCCCCCTCTCTGAGGCAGGAAGTGGGGGAGACTCCCAGAAGGAACCCCTCTTCCAGCTGCTGTGCCATCTCAGGCAGATTACTAGGCACATGGGCCCCCAAGTCTCCATCAG